CCCTATCCCCCTGTGTGCCCTTTGCCTCCCACGACTTATATATAATTTTTTCCATTTTTAAACGACGTTGCTAATACAGCGGGGCAAGGGGGGGAATATAAAAACACGCTGCAATTTGTGGGGATTTTATACTACAAGACCCTTAATCATTATTAAAGTGAGGTCACAAATTACTCCAAAGCCATGAGGTGTGTCATCAAATTTGAGGAAAAAATTTGAACTAGGGTACGGTAAAGACGCATTTATAACGACCCAATTTACAATCTAATGACACGGTGCGGTTGTACTTTTGCTCATTTATATGCGCATGCTCCCACGAAAGCATACTCATCCTTCTGGGCAGGAAAATGTTCATTTTATATCTGAAATTTTGGAATTCACCTAAAAGAGTCACATAGATTGTTTTTTTTCTTTCAATGGGAAAAGAAAATTTTTTAACTTCTTAAGTACTTACATCTAATTGTCCAAATTTAGGTGATTGCTTGGGTGTATCTTTTAATCTTTGTCAATAAAATAGATATGCTACCACCCAATTTCATATCCAATAATCACTATTATTTGTGACTACTTTATACCAAAGGTAAATGATCTCATTATATAATTTTTTTATTTTATTTGTCAAAATCTTTCTAAAACTATCCTTATTTTCTTCAAATTGATCACAAGGAATGAATTTATATCTCAAAACTTGAGATTGTAGACTTTTGGATGGAAAAAATGCTCCTGCAAGAGTATGGAAACTTTGAGTAGTGGAACTTTGTAGCTATCTTTCATTGTGTCATCCATCAAATGGAAAGTAAGGGCAATGGGAAAATTTATTTAGTAATAGTAAATTAGAAGTTTCAAGGATAAAGGAGAGATAGTGCAATTAAATATGTATATAGATTGATACTGCTTGCATAAGCAGGTGCCGCCCAATATCCTGAAATAAATAGACAAGACACACCGAACCGCTACCCATTATAAAACAAGGGTGTGGTTTCTATAGAAGGTTGCAACCTTAAACAATCCAATTCAGGGGCACCTCCAAATTTTATCATGGAATTTTGATATAAAATTTTTTTAAGTTTATTTCAAAATTTATTTTCATATTTAATTGTAAAATTAAACTCTAAAAATGGTTAAAATCAAGTAAGTCTATAAACATATAAAAATCTAAAAAATGGATTATCTAGATAATGTGTTGCAAGATGCATTGCTTCCAGGATTCAAAATCTTTTTTTTTTTTTCATATTCATGCATCTCGATGTCGAGATGATCAACTAGGGCATTTTTCAACATTAAAACAATATTTTTCGATGGATTTTTATGTGCAACTTTAATTCTACATTTTAAGGTTGCAACCTTATATAAACTTTTTCCTTATAAAAATAATAAGATTTTTATATGCCCAACGATTATAAATATGTCACCCTCTCTTAAGTCTAAAGGATACGGTTTCTATGAGTCCATGGATTCATATGTAGAAATGTGGGCCTCTTAATAATTTATGTTTGAAACAGAATTTGATCCTAATTTTTAGATAATATATAATCTTTAAAAATAAATAAATTTTGAAAATTATAAATGATATTTTTTGAAAAAAAATATTTGATCCGTTGATTTTACTCTTTTTTTGGAGGACTATTATTTATGGGGACCAGGTTTTGGTGATTGGTGTAGATCTCCAAGCCCGCATAGTAACAGGTGCGAGCTTGGACACACTAAACAATTTTCCTTGAATAAATAATTGGGATAATATTTTGTTTTAAAATTTATTATATATTGTATTGACTTGACATTTGGATTGTACCCCCACTTCAAAGGACCACACCTAACAAAATTAGATAAAAATAAAAAGAATCTTTTTGAAACAATAAAATAACTAAAATATCCCTCCAAGTTACAAGGGTACTTTTAGTAGCTTTATTTTTATCACAGTATTCTTTATTTTTTATGGGTGCCTATGATAAGTGGACATGCCCATGTGTTCATTTCAAAATGATTTATAAAAAGAAAGAAATATATTGAATTGTCTAATCAAAGATTAGACAATTCTAACTTATGACATTATGATTAAAGCTAAACCAACAATCCATTCAAATTAGATGGCTGGGAAAGGAGGCCAGTATATAAATTTCCTACAGCAATGAACATTCAAAAACCTTTCCCTTGTAAGAAATGCCGAACACTCTCTCTGCACATGCAAGCCTACATCGGTTTTCTTACATTATTAATTCAACGATTGAATCCTAAACCACCTTATTATAAAATAGGCTTAGTCTTTATGTTAAAAAGTAAGGTCACACCTCAATCTCGTCAAAAAATACATGAAACTCTTATGGTGGTATAAAAATTTATTTATATCCCTCATTATAAAATTTAAAGCTTCAAAAATAAAGCAAACTAGTAGATCGATAAAATCTAAAAAATAAATAGTCTAGATAATGTATTACAAGGTACACTATTTTTTAAAGCTAAAAATTTTTTTTGTTTCAGATCTATAATTATAGAGGTTGGGATGATCACTTTGAGAGTTTCCTGCTATCAAACTACAATTTTTAGCAAGTTTTTCGACTGCAGCTTTACATTTTATCACAAAGCTCCACCTTGTAGAACCTTTTCCTTATTTCCAAAACAACAAAAAGAGGTTCGCTTATTTTCAACTTTTATTATATATTCATGAGCGATTACCCCTAAAATAAAAAATAAAAAGAAAGTTTGCTCGCCTCATACTCAAAAATGACCAAAAGGTCGGTTAACCCATGGAAATCTTTTTTAAAAAAAGTATTCCCTCCGTCCGAGGATGCCATCTTCATATCGCATTTTAATTTATTTATTTATTTGGTATTGCCTTGGTGGGGAACTGCCATGAGTTTTAGATCCAGTGCCCAGGCATTCCAAAGATACCATTATTTATTTATTTGGTATTAACAGAAGGCGGTCCGAGAATGCAGACCTCAGACGGCATTTGGTATGAGTAAAATGATAGTGGTCCGACGATTCTGACCTTGGATTGAAGCTTTTCAAAAAATATGTTGTGGTCTGAGGCTTCGGACCGCCTTAAACATGAACTTTGTTCAGTTCAGGGAGTGATCCGAGGATTCCAACCTCAGACTACATGGGCACTGCCCCTAAAACTCAAGGCCATGCCCTACTAAAGAAATAACAAAAAAAAAAAAAAAATGCGGTCCGATTATAGATTCCTCAGACCAATAGGCAAATTTGGAAAAACAAATTACCGTTTTGGCGATTTTTGGGTATAAGGAGAGCAAACCGTATTTTAGTATTTATTTAATATTTTCAGAACTGCAGCCAAAATAAGGATCTACTTGAAAAGGGAATTTGGCCCAAGAAAACATAATTTGACCATAGGAAAAAGCACCTCCATGGATGTTATTCACTTTGAGATGATACAAGGTGGAAGTCACATGAACCCCATGGAACCTTTTTATTTCCATTTTCATGCAGAGAATAGAAAGATAGCATGATGAAATGCACATGATGAGGGGGCAGTAAGACAAACCGAAAGGGCAAAGAAGGGTAAGTGGCTCTCATGCACTACCCGTGCTGCAATGAATTGCCCCTCACACTTCTCTCTTTCTCTCTCTCTCTCTCTCTCTCTCTCTCTCTCCAATGAATTGCCCCTCAACACTTTTCACCCCCTCTCTCTCTCCACCATCTCCCAACCCCAAAAGACAAAAAAAAAATTTAAATAAAAAATAATAGTAATAATAATAAATGCTCTCTCTCTCAACAAGTCGAACTAAAATGTAGGAAGCGATTTTTCGCAATAAATAGCAGATATAGAATAATCCAAAGTCAGGAAATCGAATCTGGTCTTTTATCAAAAGGCAGGATTTGAACTCTGAGATACTCTCTGCATTTTTAATATTTTTTTTCCCATTTTTCTTTCCCTGGAGAAATTTGGTATTCTCTCAGTGGTTGGCACTTTAGCAACAGGCCCAGCAAAAGTTGCAGTAGGACAGGCAGGCAAATGCATTGGGAAGCCAAAAACTCCATCCCTTGCTCCCAGTTCATTTCAGGGAGCTGAATCATCACTTCTCTGAACTTTGAGACTTAATTTTCCCCTTCATTTTTGTGTTCAAGTCTGTTCAGTAATGTCAATCCTCCTTTCTTTCATTCCTAAATGAATAAAATTAACACAAACATGTAGATCACCACAGTTAACACATATGAGTGAGAGAGAGCTTCCTGGCAATGCATAATCTCTGACTGCATCTCACCACCTCAATTATGCATGGGAACCCTTGCATGCACCCATAACTAACATTAAAATAATACCCGAAAGAAAAAATATAGTAAAACAAATGGATAAAATTAAGGGCCCGGTTTTTATGAGTCCACTGACTCATACTATTTTCATGCGGGCTCCCTTTGAACACCCATTATTTGTATTGATCTTGGATCCAAATTTGTAATGATCCATGATCTACACTATGGTGATGGATATAAAAAATAAAAATATAATATAATAAAATTTTGAAACATTTTTATTAGAATATTTTCCTATCCCTTGGATAGGAATCTTTTAGTTGTGGATGTTCATCTCAAAGATGGAAGTTTGTGATTGTGCGGGCTAGTGAGTATGCTGACTCACAAAACACATTTTCTAAAATTAAATGTAGGAAAGAGGCCTACCATTATCCACACCTACTACTAGAAAACTTTCAACAGTCTCTTCTGACCCATGACATAGGCCCACCCAAAATATTCAACATTTATTCATTTCTCTCTTCATTTTCATCATTCATGTATTCATTTGTTTGTTCAACCTTGATGAGAAATGGCCCTCGTGTCACTTGCTGTTGTTGAGGAGGCAATGAAGTAGCACACTGTCCCCACAAAAATGGCGAGCCGACAGTCGCGAACCGTTTCAAACCATACTTAACCCCAATGCAACCAGTACTCGTAAACCGCGAACCAATTCAATGAACCAACAAAATCGAAACCCAGCCTGAACTCTACATTCTAGATACAGTAAAAATTTCTTCAAATTCTATAGTTCTCCTGTAAAAACTTGTTCATCAGTGAAAGAATTCTTGACAGTAAATTTGAGAATAAAAATTCCTCTACTTATATAATGTTCTCCTATAAATGCATGTTGTTTCGCGAAAGATTCTCGACCAAGTAAATATGAAAAATAATCAGAACCGGATCAATTCAAATGACACGCAGAAAAAAGTTACAAATTTATTTAACCAAAGACAAAAGAAAAGATACAAAATAAGTGATAATTTTGGTTTCAACATTTGTCAGTTTGGAATGTAGGTTAGATTTTGACTTTTGATTGTTAGTTGGGATAAGGAAAATGGGTATTCTTTTTAACAATTTTAAATGGGTTTAGGGTCTAATTCGGGCAAATAGGTTGTCTAGTTGGTTGGGTACACAAACAAATGAATTGTGGGTCAAATAGATAGAATGGTAGTTGGATCAGTTGCAGATTAAATGTTAATTGATTGTCTATGAAAAAGATTGTGAACAATGTTGGGACACAATCATGTGTCATCACATTAAGAACCTGGTATTCCTAACCTTTTACACAAGACTAGATCTGGTGCCTAGCTTAAAAGGCTCCACTTTCCTATCAACGGATATGAACCTCCGCGTGCCTCCACTATTTTAAAGCTAAACGACAGTTTTGTAGCGACTTTACAGGCCCTGTTCCTTCCCCGAAATGGGGGAAGAAACGGTGGAAAATATCCATGGCAAAGGCTTGGACTTGGTAATCAAGCAGGTTCTTTCCCTTTTGTTTGTAAGTTTCTAAAAACTCAAATCTTCCGAAGTACATCTCATTCTTTAATAAATGGGTGAAGTTTGTACAAGGCTGAGGCTTTAAAACAATCAAAAGTAAGAGGCACCTTCAAATAATGTCAGAAAATGGAGTTGCAATCAGTGTACGAAAAATTGGACAGTTCAAATTCTAACCACCCGGTTAGACCGGAACCGGTCCGGTTGCAACCAGTTTTGGTGAACCAACCAAGTATTTTACAAATAATTCAAAAAAAATTACATAAAATCTCAAAAAATAAGAGATTTTGTTCGTAATGCATTTTTTAATGTTTTTCGTCATTTTGGCAAAGATTGGAAATTGTTTTGGTCATTAATACTCATTTTTACATTTTCCCCTTTTCATTTGAATATGCTTTGTTTAATCATGATTTATATATAATTTTCATATTTTATTAGATTTTTTGGTATTTATTTTTAATACTTTTTTTACCACCAAACGGTTACCCTGTTTGGCCGGTTGACCGGTTAGTACTGAGTAACTGCTTCCAGCCCTATATACGGTCAACCATTCTAGTTAGATTTTTCCTACACTAGTTTCAGCATTGGAAATTAGCTTGAAAATTTATTTCAGCTCTAATTATAAAATTTAAGACTCCAAAAATAGTGTAGATCAAACACATCTATGAACACTTGAAAACCATAAAATTAAGAGTCTAGAAAATAGAGGCACTATTTTCAAAATTTAAAAATTTGAAGTCTATTTTTCCCATATCCATGCATCTTGAAATCAAAACTATTAATTTGAAGATTTAGGACACCGAAACAACCTCTTCTAATAAATGTTTTAGGTGTGCCTTAATTTGATCGTTTAGGGTCTCACCCTTATATAAACTTCTTCCTTGATAAATTCATGACTTACATATTCCTTGCATAACTGAAAGTTACATTTAAAAGTACAAGTCTCTTACAGTTACACTTAAAAGTACAAGTATCTCCTAAAATAAACCATTGGACTAATTCAGGAAAACAGAGATATTTGAATTTATAGCTATGAGGCGTAAGGAGCCCTCTAAAACGCATGGGGACAAGAAACAACCCTTCACCTTCAGAAAATTCAAAATGGTACCAAGAGAGCATGCCCCACCTTTTGTTCTGGGACATATCCAAACAGCGCCCTAACCTCGATAAGGACAAGGAGAATTCCCCCTGAAGAGTCCAAGTCAACAGGAAAGAATAGGAAGACAAGATGAGAAGACTCATTCGTTCTTTGTCCAGTGAGAATTCCCCCTGAAGAGTCCAAGTCAACAGGAAAGAATAGGAAGACAAGATGAGAAGACTCATTCGTTCTTTGTCCAGTTAATGCATGCATGCATGCTAATCTCATAGACATGCATGCAAAACACATCAAATGGAATGCATGTGTAAGCACAGGAATATCCAATGTTATCCTCAAACACAACTCACATATTCATACATGCATACACGCATCGCCTGTGCTGATGCATGACAATACAAATGCACATGCACATGGGTTTACATGCATGACACCAGAATAACACCGTACACATTTGCTCAAAAAAAAAACAATACTCATTACCGAAATACACGCATGGATCGCATTTCCACATTCTTTGATATTGTCAAAATACAATGTCTAAATTTATGTGCAGGTCTCATAAAACCACAAAAAGCAGGCAACAGATTTAAGCACTTGGATAAATGTACAATGCTATGATGCTTTCCTACTTCGACCCCCCACACCACCTGAGATACTCTTTGTGCTACCTAAATCTAATGATGCACTGAAATCCCTTTGGCGACCTCCCCGGGAACTAGGGCTTGACAACTGCCTTGGAGAAGTTAAATTTGGGCCGCTTTCTCTATTAAAGGCCTCCTCCAAAGTGGCAGCTTCCTCCTTCAACAAGGATAACTGATTCACCATAAAAACATAATTAAACACCCAATCTTACCCACCAGTACAGACCTCACAGAGTCAAATTAGGAGAGTGTAAAGTAATTTCAAATTATGATAAGTATATAATAATTCAATGGATCAAGGAAGATCATAGTTCAACCAATGAAACGATGTATGATGACGAAGGTTGAGACCCACCAATGAGTTCCTCTCCTGCTCTCTTGCCCATCATTGAGGTCTTCCCCACCCAACCACCCACCCCCCACCCCCCAAAAAAAGATAATAATAAAAACTAAATAAATAAAGAACAAGCATGAAGCAGTGATGACCCCAGTGGATCACCATGTTGCATTTGCTATATGTTTCCTTCAATTTAACCCCACGTTCCTGCAAGAAGCAAAAATAGAAAGAACGAGAAAAGGAGAGAGTTGAATTACCCTCATCTCATTATCCTTGAGACGGTCCTGGAGTGAGCTTATAGCAGGACACAAACTGCAAGAAAAATATGAAAGTGGTTTAAGATATTATTTTGGAGTCGTGCCAATAAAATTGCCATTATCAAAATGAGCAGAATCCTGACCAGTATTCCATTAATTTGCATATTGATGCCTGGTACGTTGATGTATGATGGATGAAAGCGAGAGGATGAATTTTATCATTGCTGAGAAAAAAACAATACCAAATTAAACATGGGCATGTCTTTTGCTTCTTTTTTTTTTTATCAATTAACAAATGTGGGGCGTGTGGGGTTCACTTAATAAAGAACAAAACCTAGTATCGAGATTCATGGAGTGTGTGCAACCTATTACCGCATACTCTGTGAGATGGCTTGATGGTATGCTGCTCTCTCCTCCTCAAATAATATCCTTTGTAAGTCCATGTATGATTTTAAGGGGTAGTCGAGCTTCAGCAAAGAGCTACTTGGGACTACTTGGAGAGGAACCTCCTTTCTGACATACTCTGCACCACTGTTGCCCATAGGCATCCCAATAAGAGAATACCCAACGTAAGTTTTCACTGAAAATCCACTGACCGTTCCATCTGAAGAATATCTATTGCTTCAAGTTTGCTGTAATGCAATTCATCCAAAAAATAAAAAAAAATGATCCACTGCCAAGCTTGGCAATGCTCCCATCTGATTTTTATTTAAAGTTAAAAGATAACCAAGGTCCCATTCACGGAAAAATTTTATAATAATAAAAAGGAAAGATGAAATCAAACATGTCAATGCAAAGTAGGACTTTGATTTCATGGTTACATCAAGGCAAAAGCATGTTCATATCATCTAACAAATTCAGCAGCATGTGCAGTAGCATTAAATAGTGCATGCATCTGCATGCTTGCGCGTAGAAACACCTGCTTCTCGTTCACAAGTAACCATCTAAATATCATCTAGCAGTCTTACATGATGATGTAGGGAGAAAGAAATGAAGCAAACAAGAAAAATAAATAAAAATAAATGATGAAAGTTTTTACATTCTCTCTGGATCTGCAGAGGAGTCCACCCCCAAAAGTAGAAAGATTTGACACTCTTTACATTTGCAAGGAGTCCACCCTAAAAAGATCTTTTTACTAGACTCCATATAAGTTATTCTTCTTTATGGTCTCCTTTTTTAACATAATTACAGACCGTAAAATCTAACTCAATCGTTACAAACCAATCTCAATTAAATATTAATTCTTCATTTTAAAAAATTAAACTTCCAATTCTACCCCTGAATTCTCAACAACAAAAAAGAGACAAAAATGCACTAAAAGAAAAGAAAAAACCAAAATAACCCAAACCTAGTTTCAATCTCTTAAGAAATAATAAAATTAAAAATTAAAACCTAACTACATCATTTTCTTAGGGTTGGTAAAAGCACATACTCGAACTCAAGGGCATTTGAAATATTTCCTTCATTGTCTACTCAACCACGTCACCTCTACTCTAATCTCGTGCGCGGTTTCCCCGGTGGCCTACCTCCACCTTCCCCACCCTCAACCTCTGCTGGTCCTTCTTATCCATCCCCGAATCCTGATACAAGAGTACCCAGTTTGTGATGGAAGGATGGACCCTTCTGTAGTGGTGGAGCGTTGGAGTCTAACGCGGCTACTGGTGCTCTCTCCTCCACAAAGGCTGGATACAAGAGTGAGAGTGAAGCTGCGAAAGAGTTGTTATGGGTGGGAAAGATGCTGAAAGAAAGAAAGAGTTGGATGGAATTGCGATAGTTCCTCCAATTGAGTGTGATAATATGAGATGCATTGCACTAGCCAGCCCGTTCGGCATGGGAGAACCAAACATATCGAGATACATGCTCATCTTGTCGGTTAAAGGGATAGGAGAAGCAGATCGATAATGTTGAATGCCCCCCATTAGTACTCATTACTAGATCGATAGGGAGGGGCCGGAGTTGTTTTTTTTAAGAAAGGCGGTAGGCAAATCTGAATATCTCGTTCGTAGGCAGTGGGCTCTTCTTCACAGGCGGAATGCTCTTCTGCTTCTTCTGCTTTTAGACGTATTAGCTATTCTTCTTCCAATTCTTTCTCTCTACAAGCGGTTGGGTCATGAATATCTGTCTTCTATTAATGGCTTTTAGTTTATCGGTTTATATCTCACTTCTGGATAGCACTGGAACCCGGCCCTGGGGAACAGGAAGCCGGTGACTCATACGCAGGGAAGCGGACCCATGGACTAATGAAGAGAGGGGAACCTGACCCCTTGCCTAATAAAGAGATAGGAACAGAACTTGAACTATAACTAAAGGAACAGGAACCTGACCTCAAGCCTTATATAATATCCAGGGGAAGCGAAGACATTTGTTTTCCTAAAAAGAGAGATAACGCTCTGCTTCTTCTTTTAGAGGTATTTTACATGTGTCTTAAGGGGTGAAGAGACTAACCACTTCCAGTTTCAAGCAGTTGGTTAGCTATTAGCTAATTGATAGAAGCCTTTCCTTCTGTCCTGTAACAGGAACTGAAAGATGAGAGAGACCAACGGATCCCACTCACGAGGGAGTGGGCGAGCAGTCTTACTTGACCGAACAATTGGCACTGATAGGACTGTAATCTAATCTATCTTTCCTTCCTTCAAAGTAGGCGGTAGGCGGTAGGCGGTAGGCGGTAGGCGGTAGGCGGTAGGCGGTAGGCGGTATTCACTAGCTTATGTATGAGGTCTATCATTCAGGCAATAGGCACTGGCTTAGCAGGTGATAGGAGGCACTGGCTTAAGGCGATCGAGGGCAGTTGCTTATGTATTAGTCATTTCAGTAGTCGTAGGCGGTAGGCACAGGCAGTAGGCTAATCTGAAACCCTAACTTCGGGAGAAATTGGTTCCCTTTCTACCCCGTCTACTTACTTCGCTACACCTATATCCGCCTCTGGCCCAACGAGATTTTCACCCTTTTCGTGTCGAACTTTTGATTGTAATACTCAATCCAACAAAGTTGTGATATGTTTGGAAAGCGATTGCGATGCCAGAATCTTTTGTGCTTTCGACCACTTGTATTTCATGCCATTGCAACCAGATCATCTTCCAAAGCATGCTATGGTGTGTGCCTCATGCTTAAATTGGTGGTCAACTTTTCACTTTCCACTTCTTCATATTACTATTCCCCAAGTAGCAATTTGCTGGACAGTTCTTGTAGCACTTGCTACATTCTTTCATGTCTTTTCTGACTCTCTCAATTATTTAATCCACACGCTCCATAACCGGATGCATAGATGTTCTTAATGGCATCATGGCGTATGGCTCTCAAGGTACGAATCTCAGGCACGAATCTCAAAGCTCTAATACCAATTGATAAAGGAAGAAGGGAGGAATAAACTAAAGCAAACCAGAAAAATAAAAAATTAAAATAAAGGATGAGAATTTCTACACTATCTCTAGGTCTACAAGGGAGACCAATGGCAAAGGTTAAGAGATTTATCCCTCTTAGATTTGCTAGGGAGTCACACAAAAAGATCTTTTTACAAGACCGAAGATTAACACATATCTTCTCTTCTCTCTATTTTTTTTCCAACACTAACACATATATAGAAAAACCACCCTAAAATCTAACTTGCTCCTTAAGAAACTCTAACCACAATAAAATCCTAGCCCTTCATCTATTTAACATTTAACTTCCAAGTATTTATCCCTATATCATCTACCACAAAAAATCGACACAAGTACTATAAGAGAAAACTGGAATCAATTTCTTCAAAAATAATAAAATAAAAAATAAAAATTTCGATTGTATCATTCTCATGAGGTTGGGAGAAACACATCCTCGAGCTTATGAATTAGAACTTTTTCTTTTTCTTCTTCTTCGCTTCATTCTAACTAGATATTTTCACCCTTCTCTTGACATACTTTTGGTTGTTGGACTTATATCAACAAAGTTGTGATATCCCCGGAAAATCGATTGCAATGCCAAAATCTCCTGTGACTTCCACTACTTGTATGCCTTACAACTAGGTCAATTTCTAGAGTGTATTGTGGTGCATGACTAATGCTTGGATTGCTAGGGAGTTAATGATCTTCCACCTCTTCATATTCTTGTTGCTCATGTTGTAACCTGCTGGTAGATGTTGTAGCACTTGTTAGATTGTCTTGCCAAAGCATTATTTCAGATCTTTTCCAACTCTCTCTATTATTTGATCCAATGGCTCCGTAATTGGATCATTAAATGTGTTTGATGTTGTCATGGTGTACGGATATTAAGGCAGGGATCTCAAGGCTCCTCTCTTAGGGTATATAGGGGAGTCCATCCCAAATGGAGGAGATTCGACCCTCCCTAAGTTTGCACTGGAGTCCACCCCAAAAGATCTTTCTACAAGACCCAAATTAAGTTCTTTCTATTCCCCTTTCTTGTCTGGTACTTACATTTTGTAGAAGAAACCCTAAAATCTAACTTGCTCCTTAAGAAACCCAAGCACAATTAAATCTCAACCCTTCATTTTTTTAAAATTAAACTTTCAATTTTGCCCCTCGATTCTCCACAACAAAAGATGACACAAATGCCCTAAAATAAAACTAAAAACCCAAATAACCCATAACTCAATTTCAATCTCTTAAAAAATAATAAAATAGAATAAAAAACTATAACCTAACTACATCACATGCCTATTTCCAAGAGCGTGATTTTCCATTTATATTGTAGATACATCAAAACTTGGGATTCAAGTTACACCTCTTTCAAATGCCAAATTACCTAAAATAGGCAATTTCTCTTAAGGGCATAAGGACACTCCTTGTGCAAAATCCAAATAAAGGACTATAGGCAATACATATATAACTTTTAAGATATGAATAAAGATATCAGTGGAGCTCAAATTAACTATATGTCCAATCAACATCCGGTTGAGCACATTATCTTGATTCACCAAATATTTGAAGTGTCATTAGATGGACATAAGCTTCATCTTATTTCCTAGAGTAGATAGACTTCATATTGATTAAGGAGTTCATCCAGATGAAAACATCCCTGGGTTACATAAAATACAATATATCAAGCAGGGACCTGCAGCTGCCCCAAGTTTCAAAACCCAACCTGATCAGGCACTTATCTACTACATCTATGTGAAAAGCCCTAGAACATGGAAGAGCATGATGCTCAACACATCTTAGATTGGCAATCTATGAATGAATGCTCAGTGTCATCATGCTTCAAAGATAAGATCATTATCCACCCATATCTCGATGGGCATGTCTTGATTTATTGATGAACAAATATTATTGCTAGATTTTTCAGACATCAAACTAAGACGAGAAACTTGTTATTCACATACCCAATTCACCAGAGCCTAGTACAGACCAATAAAATTGCAACCTTAAAAAGGCACTTAATCCTAGCGTTCGCCGATAAAGCAACACTAGTCTAACAGTTGTCCTATAGAACTTTCCCTTCATCTTCATTGGTATGCAGCGATCACATAAAATTAGGAGCGGCTTCAATAGGTGATAAGATAAGAGAAAGTAGATTTAGGTGGGCTGGGCATGTGCAGC